TTATTTATTTCTCTTGTGTATATTCATATGATAAGTATAATAGAATCACTTTTTTATATAATGAGAAAAATATAATATATGGTGATATTATTTTATAAAATATTCATTTCTATTATTTTTGTTGTTATACGATTTTGTAACAACAAAAATGTACACCCCTATTCCGTGAATAGGGGGTATAGGCTTTATATAGAAGTGTAGTGATTTTTGATAAGATTTTTTTTGTGTCTTTTGTGTGTCTTGACTGAAATAAAAGGCAAAGAAAATCCAAGCCCAAGAATTGAATGTGTGTATTATTCTCCTGAATTTGTGATGGATTTTTTATGATAATGAATTTGTGATCATCCCCCCTCAGGCGGTGCCCTGTGATTCCTAAAAAGGGCAAAATTAAAAGTCCCTCATCTCTATCTTGTCCCTCATCTCTATCCCTTTAGCCTCTATTTATATTTGGGCTAATATTGGCCCGTACATTAATGGGCTTGTACGTTAAAACATGACCGCACAGGGCCCAAATAATAAATACGACCGCGCAGGGCCAATAATAAATATGACCGCGCAGGGTTCAATAATAAATATGACCGCGCAGGGTCCAATTAATAAACATGACCACGCAGGGCCCAATTAATAAATATTTGGGTTGACTGACAAATTGACTGGTACTCCGACTGGTATTTGTCTTGTCAGCAATTGACGTGTCTGTATAAGCGGCTTCTTTGTGATATCAGGGTCGAGCTAGCGGTCTTTAAATACGGACCTTGTCTTCTGGGAACTCGATCAATATTAAACATATAAAAGAACCTGCTATTTTATATTTATTTAATATATATATCCACGTGTAATATTTAATAGGCGAGGCCAAAATTAGGTAACAACAATTTTACTAATGCAATTTATATAACTAAAAATATATAACACATTAAAAATAAGTATACCGTGTCCAAATTAAAAAAAATTTAATTTAAGAAAATTAAATAAAATTATAATTTAAAATAATAAATAAATAAATATGCCTAACGAGGCCCACTATAAAAGGGCCCAAAATCCCGCGCCCCGTCCCTCCCCTCCCAACACCATCTATATAAGTATAATAATTGCATGCGCCGTATGTATTCATATCAGATATTTCATAAAACTCATACATGGGGTTTAGATTTTCACCATCAGAACTTGTTCAACAAGGTAACCGGTCGGCCGATTATCGAGAGCAGTAACTGGATTTGGCCGATTATCTTCCATACAAAATCATAGTCCTAACTCTAATAAATTAAAAATATCCCAAATAATTAATCTAAATCTTTTCATTCTTAACAAATTTTTCTAAACCTCACAACTAATTTACTACAATTCACAAATAATATGTATAATCTTGAAAAGGCTACTAATTTACTACAATTTACAAATAATATTTATAATCTTGAAAAGACGATTAAACATTATCTATTTAAAATATCAAACCTCCTACATGTTATATAACACATTTTAAAATGTCTAAAATATGTTATATTTGTTTTAAAAAAATGTATGAAAATATCAACTTATTTTTTTTCTAAAATATTTTTTTTGAAAAATACATATAAAAACTCATAAGTTAAATTGTTATGTGATAATGTACTAAAATATTTTATATACATCATAAAATATAAAATCAAAGTTGTTTCAAGCACACACAAC